ATCGAGTTGGTTCGAATTGGTCGCACATGAAAAACTAAAGAGCATTTTTATTTTCTTGTAGGCAGCAAAAGAAGTATTATAATTACGCGAAAATTTCGGCTATCAGATTTCAACGGAAATATCCATTTTGAATGACCTCGAATCTATTTTGACTACTTTTTGCGTGGCATCTGAATACGCACAGACAGAATAAAGAATTCTTTATTCCCAAACGAATCATAAAATATATTCAAATTGGATTTTTGTCGTGACGTCTTTACATGGGTACGCATCTATCTCGCATAACTCAAAACATGATTAGGCGTTGAAATTTTGTACACTGGTGTGCAAAACTTAAGCAACAAAGTAAATTTTAATCAGATAGCCATGAAATTGTAGAAAAGGAGTTCTGGCCAGCGTGCTCCCTTGATTTAAACCCCATAGAACATGTGTGGGATGCTTTGGGGAGACGCTTGTGACACGATTACATCCTCCGGGGAACACCCAATAACTGAAACAGATGCTGATTGAGGAATGGGCACTCTTTCCTCAAGATCTGTTGGAAAATCTGGTGCTGAATATGGAGAGACCGTTCGAAGCAACCATTGCAGTAAGGGGAGGGCATATCCCATACTAAGGAACACCTGCTTGTTGTTCTTCCTCTTGTACAGACAATCATGTGTAACGATACTATGAGTTCAATAAATCCTGTTTTTGTTTGATTCCATACTGTATGCATTGCATTGTATTCATTTTTAGAGCAATCATGCTTTCGTCATCGTTTAAATACAAAATGCTATCTCTTAATTCTGAATTTCATGTCTCTCAGATGTTTTCTCGTGGAGTTATGCCAAAAAGAACATCTGTTGCTTAAGTTTTGCACACCAGTGTATATGGAACTGCTATGACATTCAGTTGTGCACCACCCTTTTTTTATTGCAATAGGCAGTACCACAAATAATTATAATCATAGTCGATGGTTATAGATGGGGCTGGCGTAATTGCGTACTAGAAGAAACTTACAGACATTGATTACTTCGTAGATAACAAAACACATAATTTTATTCCTTGATTAATAATTTCTTATGACACATTTTCCCTTTTTCACATCACTATGGGTGCAAAACAAGCACTCAACAATTCAATACATACTTATCTCATTTTTTAAACAATAGAAGCGACGAGACGTCAGGTAAAAACTAGCAAAAAAAAAAAAAAAAAACGAGTGCGCATTTCACCAAGGCTTATATATAAGATTTACCATATTTTCGGCATGTTAATATGATATATAAGACTAAAATCCTTTGCTTGAAGATTGAACGGTGATTCGTCAAGAGCTTAACGCAATACAGATGACATAATGCAGGTTAACGTTTCAGTGGAAAAATTTAGAAAAAGTTATTATTAATTTTAGAATAGAGAGAGGAAGTACCCAAATTAAAATGAGCAATTTTGAGTTTCATATCTTGTAGTTTCCCACTTCCCCCCTTAAAAGTCCTCACCTTAAAATGCCTTATATACTTCCAGTTACAGAAGTGTTTTAAGTGACGAAAATATTCATGTTTCGGTGATGTTGGTTCAAAAAAAAAAAAAAAAAAAAAACTTTGGATAAATACGAAATCTAACTTTAATGCGGTATTCCGGTATTTATATTTGGGAAAATTTTATACTCGTAATGAAAACATAAAATTATAGGAAGTTTAACACCCGTACGAGAAAAATTGATTGGGATATTCAACTTCAAAAATTTGCAATTTTTGATGTCATTTTCAGTTTGCCTTGAGGGATCAGTTAATTACGTTAGAATAATTCCAAGAAATAAGTTTAACTGAAGTGCATTAAAACAAAGTGCATAATTTAATAGATCGAAAAGGAAATCATATGTTGTTAATATATCAGATTTATGTTTTCAATGTAAAAACTCTGAAATGCTGACAAATTAAAATGATTTTCGTGTCTTGACTGAAATATCTCGGCTGCATGCTCTGCCCGTTACATTTGATTTTATTTGTCCTCAAAAGAAGCGTATGTAAATTAAGAAAAAAACTGCTAGTTCTTTTTTTCAAATCACTATATTATGTTTTACTCGAATGGACAACTTTTTATATTTTTATAAAGAATATAATTTCTTCTTTCGTTTAAATTTATTTCTGTTAAAAACAGTTGACAGGGTGGTCATGTCCCATTTCATTTTTTTTTTCAAATTAAACTTTTTTTAAATCGTCCTCTTTCAGCGTTTTTTTATATGGGCTAGGTAAAAGAAGTTCCCATTGTAGTCTTTTCATTCAAGAATGCTAAACCTAAGAATGTGATACGGTATCACGTAACTGTACGAATATGCGTGAAACTATAGTCATTATAACGTTTCGTCCCTTAAACTTCATGTTTAGCAATGTGTAGCTACACTATTTATATTACTCGTAATGATATCTAATACAGTAAACAGAAAAAGTTTGATTTGATTACAAGTCAGTGTCGTTATTTTGAGATCTGGCAACGCTGGTTTCTAAAGAATAATCACAACTAAAATATTTGGAGTTTTCTGAATTTGAAGTGGAAACGAACGATGAGAATGCGAGAGCGCTAGGAGCATTAATTTTAATTTAAAAATACAGGGCATCAAAGACGCTCGTGAAACCGTAAGTGATCTAATATGCTATCACAGTTTACAATAAAATAGATTCATTATTTTATTGACTAGTTTTTGAAAAATGTGCATTTCATGTCGAACGAGAATGTTGAGCCATGTGTACAGAAATGAATTTTTTATGATAATTTTCCGAATTTAGTTACTGTATAGTATTCAAATATAGGATTTGCATTCTTTCTTCTCATTGACGTTTTCTGTTCACCTCAAAAAGTCCTCCTTTTCATTTTTTCTTGTTTCAAGCAAATTCTTTTTTTAAACATTTAAAATATGAGAATTTCATTTTTTGAATTTCTGCTTCTACAGTAAGTAAACAGTGAAAGAGTATTTCTCGCTAACTGGATTCAGTTGCCAAGAAACCGAGCAGATTTATTGTGGAGTCATTGAAGTCAGTCTCGTATGCACAATTTTAAGCTATGTTGTGCTTTGACCTTTTAGTTAATTAGTTAAAAAAATAGAATTCTTCCGTGATATAAAAGTAATTCTGAGATGAAACGGCTTTTGATATTCTCATCCACAATGAAATAAAAGGCCTGATTGCGCAGCGGGAAAATCTAAAAGGGTGCATCATATTTAGAACACTGTAAGAAAAATTTCTAAATGTTTGTATTAAATAAACATACACTCCTAAGTTTCGAAATAAAGCAACATGAACTGTTTGTTTATAAATAACCACATTAGCTAAAAAGTGTAAAATCCTTATTTATTTGCATGAAACGTTTCTCTTTTCATTCAGAAACTGTTTTTACTATAATAAAATGATTCAGATGTCTAGTTGCTGTCTTTAAATATTTATGAACTATAATGCACGACTTTAATGACATGAAGTTTGGCCATTTATATTCTAGAATATTTATATATATGACATTTTGCATCTACCAGAGCGGCGTAAACAGAGTCCAGCTCAATGTCTTCCTTCTTCATTTTCTTTATCACGACGTTCAGTTTAGAGTGCCATCTACTGAATGGATAACATTCGTATTGCGTAGGTAATACGCGTTTTGAAGCATTAATTTCCCTTTCAAAAGAAGTTTCAAATACAGGAATAGTTGTTTTTCCCTTCCAGCAACTTAACGTCAGTAGTTTGAAAACAATGTCCTGTTATTCCTTTGAGCTCTAAAATTTTATTGAATTTTTAATGTCATTCATACTCCTCCATATAAACTAATTCTAAATCAGTCTATCAACGAAGGAGACTACTTTACAAAAAAAGTATTTGACATTATTTGATCTAAAAAAAAACTACTATAATTTTTAAGCTGCAATTATAGATATAATTTTCATTGAATAAGTGCTACAACGAAATTTCGAATCAATTTTTTTATTAACACAAAGGGGCAATTTACACAGAAGGTCTATAAATTTCGTTTTAGCATTTTGCGTTGGTTCGTTATAAAAGTCTGAATCACTTTTCGAATTGTTCCCACCAAATATTAGTGTCCTACATTATAATTAAAGAAACTAAATAATGAAGAATCTGTATGAATGTATGCATGTTTCTCCTACTATGAAAAATGAACGGTACATAGATACTTCAAATTTTGAATACGTGTATACGAGCCAGTTTCCCTTAGAAAGTCCTCCACGAAGGCATCCCTCCCCTTAGGCAAATAGCCCTAGTGTGCTTTGCCATAATTAAATACAACAACAACAACAAATTTTGAATAATGTCTTCCACTCTAATAGAGGCATCTGGAAGATCAAATTTGGAATTTGTTTTATTATGTATTTCATATTTTGTAAAACTTTAACGAACTCAACGATTTCAAAACGTTCCATTAACATTAACATCGCGTTCATCTTCCAAGCACGGATATTTTATGCGCGAGGTTTCTTTTTTTCTGATATTGCTGTTGAATTGAATTTTATGGTTTAAATGCGAAGAACATAATATTTTATACATAAAGGTAACACATAAAACCCTAAAAAACGCCCTTTCGGTCGTAATTTAAATCTGATAGCTTTCAATTTTTTTTCCTTTAATTTTGTTTCACGAGTCGTAGATACAGATATATACTAGATAGAATTTAATGCATAGGTAGAATACAGTTTTGAAACTTTTATTTATCGGCTTTAGTAATTAATTAGTATTAAATTTATTAGTTGTCTGATAAACACGAATAAGAACAAATTTCAAAGCAAATTATATGCTTTTTAGAGATATAAAATATTAAGAAATTAACAGCGACTGCACCTTTATTAATTTCTAGTTTTATGCAAAGAATAAAAAAGTCTTGTGAGTTTTCATATTCTGTTTACAAGAAGGAAACAAAAGTAAACACAAAGCTCACTGCGATAAAGTCGGTAATATTCTAAAAATTATCGTCTGTGTCTTTTTCTACCTGTTAAAAAAAGTATTCTGAAATCTTCGTACCTAGATAGCTTTGGCTGCTAGCCATTTTGCTTGGAAGTGATCTTCGTGTATATCACCTTCCTTTCGTCCAAACACCTGAAAATAAGCAAAAAAGAAATGCCGTTACAAGATGAGTCACGTAATAAACACGTAAATTAACTGTTCATAATTTCTAGATTCACCTGGTTTTTACAATCACATTCACATGACATAATTTGAGAGATATTTTTAAAATACCAATGGAATGTTAAGCCATGAACTTGAAGAGAAAGTATAGAATTTCAACATCTGCTAGATGTGACAAAGTAGTGGAAAGCTAGAAATTCTTGTCTCTTCGTCGTAGATAAAACATTTGTCAACAGAAGCAAGTCGTTCTAAAATTAAGACATTTATAATTTATTATTTCGAGCAAGATACTTTTTTTTCTAGTACATTTTGAATGTTATGAAAGCTTTTTAATGTTGACCTTGAATCAAACTCTGGTAGCAGCATTTGGCACCTTTTAAATGCAGCTTTGAAAGCGCATTTAAAAAGACCTAATGAACTTTAAATATTTACATTTCCGCAAGGGATTAGAATTTTTTTTTGTGTGTGTGGGGGGGGGGAGTATTATTTTCTACATTACGTTCTAATTACAGAGAAAATATGAACATTACTAGGAATAAAAAAATTATGCTGTATTTTTAACTACACTTTGGAAATATCTCTGCTTAAAACTGGTGCTTATTCTTCATTACATATATTAAACCTCAGATTGCTGCCAAGTAGCTATTTTGAATTTTTAGTTCTGTTAATTTTAATTTCTTTGACTTCCAGGTCAAATAATTTTAAAAATTATGAGGTATAAAATGTCTTACAAAAATAAAGTTATTATCCAAGAATGAAATTTCAACTTATTCGTAGAACTTCTAAAAGTTTATTTACTATAAATACCACGTTTCTTCGCCTCTAAGATGCCTTTGATTTCAGCACAAACAGAAGTCAAAACTTTTGTTCCTAAGAAGTTAAATAAAACGCTAACAATCTTCTTGAGGTGACTATTTCCTTAAAAAGATCCTCTTTGAGAATGATTAATAATTTTAAGAGCATGAAAAAAGATTTGGTATTGAACCTCTCTAAGACGCCCAACTCACTCAACATAAGACAAAAAACATCTAGAAACATAGATGGTCATCTTAGAGAGTGTTCACTGATTTTTTTAATTGATTTATGTTTATTAATACAATTTTTGAAATAATACAGAAAAATTAATTCGTACGGTATTATTCATTCCGAAAACTTTGCGATTCAAAAATGAATTTTTTTATGCGACAGTTCTGTTGAAATCAGTTCTTTCGAACATAGTAACTATTTCGTGGTTTTCCCCATGTGTAACGTGTATACGAGCCAGTTTCCCTTAGAAAGTCCTCCACGAAGGCATCCCTCCCATTAGGCAGATAGCCCTAGTGTGCTTTGCCATAATTAAATACACCAACACACACCAACGAACATAGTAACTGGAATAAAGAAAGTGTTAAATGTGAAAATGTAATGGAAACAATTTTCAATGAATGCTTCCATCACAGAATATTAACAGTTAAATCATTAACTGTTCATAATTTCTAGATTTCTTGTACGAGAATAAGACGAAAATATTTCATAGTAAAATGGCTTCTAATATTTATTTGCTAGCAATTAGGTCTGAATTAATTAGGATTATTTCAGTTAAAACTTTAATTAATAAGGAAAAAGCGAAAATTGCTTGGTGACCTTGAATGCAAGATAAAATATTAGTTAATGATTTTTTTATATAAAATTAAATGTTTGTGTTTTGATTTTTAGACATACCCTTTTATTTTGTGCAACATTTTTTTTTTTTTTTTTTTGGGGGGGGGGGTTAAATGTAACAAAACACTAGTGGGCTAAGTTCCTAACAGGAAAGTAAGCCTTCGTAAATGACTTTCTAAGAAAAAATAACAACAAAAAAAAAAAAAAAAAAAAAAAAAAAAAGCTCGCAAAAAGGACTCCTTCCTGAAAAAGAAATTTAGTTGAACTACAAGTTTATGGGTATTCGAAGGAGGTTTGACTGACTAGAATTAGCGGTTTTAACCATCCAGCCATTAGTGGGACGTCCATTTCCCGCAAAATGACTTATTTCCTACCATTCCTTTTTTATTAACGGCCCTCCAATGGCCGAGCGATAAAGTTGCTAAATACTGGTAGTTCGACCAACATTCCAATCTCCCCAATAGGTAGGCTGCATGTGCGCTTTCGTGGTTTTCCTCGTGTGTAATGTGGATGCTAAGTCAGTTTCTCTTAGAAAGTCCTCCTCAAAGGCCTCCCTCCCCTTAGGTAAATAGCCCTTGTGTGTTTTACCATAATTAACTTAACAAAACCAAACCTTTTTATTAACATTTTGCATTATTTAGTTGTCCGCGAACGGGCTGGCTGCATGGGCGTTTTCGTGTTTTTCCCCATGTGTAACGTGTATACGAGTCAGTTTCCCTTAGAAAGTCCTCCACGAAGGCATCCCTTCCCTTAGGCAGATAGACCTAGTGTGCTTTGCCATAATTAAATACACCACACCATTATTTAGTTGTCAGGTAGATTATGAGGGAATTACTGTAGCTAAACAACAGGGAAAGAAAGTAAGGTATTTACATATTAACCCGTCAACCGTGAAACTATAGCCAAACGGCACTATTTAGCGCCAGTTATAGATAAGCGTGACGTAACAACACATTCATGACATTTATGCTTTCGTTTGATGTAACCTCCACTGATTTTCCATCAGCCACCTTCTGTATTTATGAATAATGGTATAAATGTTAACTTCTATCGCAGTATTTTTTTCTAGCATTTAAAGAAATCTGATGTGTACACCACATGACTTCCTTGCATTGGAATATTAAATTGAAATATTAAATTATACGCATTTTTTCTTGCATTTCATTTAAACTTATTGGATTGAATTAAATCTACTTCGCCGACAGCGCATAAACCACAATAGAATAAATGCATTCTTTAAAATTCACTCTAGTATTTGTTTACCATAGCGACACTCTGGCGCTAGATTCACTTAACAGTATTAATAATTATATAACAGTTAACTGTTATATAATCCAATAATTATATAACAGTTAACTTATATATTTCGTTCATATTATAACTCATAATGCACAAAATTTATATCATTTAAAGAATAGAATTATCTAATCGTTGCCACATGTTCTATTCAAATACTAAAGCTAGAATGATGTATAAAAGGAATTAAGCAAACAAAACAAAAAGAAACAGTTTTTCACAGACGATTCAGTATTTCTCATTTAATTAATTCAGTTCTCACTTCGCGAGAAGGCAAAAATACATAAAAACTCAAAATATCTATATTAAAAATTACGAAGTAAATCTTAAACGCTTATTTCCTCGAAAAAATTCCAGAAAGGATTAAGCATGATTTAAATAATAAATGAAGGCGTTATCTTTGTTGTTGCGAAGCTAAGTTTCTCTAGATTGGCAACAAATCCACTAGTCTCCTGTTTCAAATGTAAACATCAATGGCCGCCATTAAAAAAGGCTTAGCGGCAATTAAACAACTTTAAAATTGCTGATAATTCTAAAAATATTGCACACAGATTTACTAAAGGCATAAAATCCTTAACCGGAAGATAAAAACAACATAATTCAATCATTTTTAAAGCAAAAAATGTACAATTTACCAACATATAAGAGTAAAGAAACTTAGATCACTGAGCCGGGTAACAGAGTGGATATACATATAAACATATTTATATACGTTTGGTGCGGCCGATTGCAACCAAAATACGAGGTGCACATCTACATGTTATAGCAGTCCTATATACAAAATTTCAACGTTCTTAGGCTACTCGTTTTTGAGTTATGCGAGATACATACGTACGCACGTACGTACATACGTTCGTACAGACGCCACGAAAAATTCTCTTCAGAATTAATTTTAAAGCAGTTTTATAATTTTTTTGAAGGAAAAGAGTATTTTATTCTGTCCTTACGTACAGATATCACGCAAAAACATCGTTAAATTGCATTCGATAGCGGTCAAAATGGATATTTTTGTTGAAATATGCTGCCTGAAACTTTTCGCGATTACAATACTTCCTTTTTACTTCGTACAAGGAAGTAAAAATGATTAAAATTTGGACCTACCTTCTATGGGTTGTAAATAGCAGATTATTTTCGAAGTTATGAGATCCTACCATCTACCATCAAAATACACTGGTTATCATAAATTAAGGAAAAATCACAAAAATCGCGATTACTGAAAAAGTTTCATGTAGAATTTAATGAAACTTACCCACAATATACAACAAATAGTAATGTATCAAATAACATAAAAAGAAATTACCAGACAAATATGGTAGTATAGAAATTAGCACATGTATAAAATGAAGAAATCGAAGGTGTCAGTTTGCTATAAGAAAAGGACTTTCAATATGGAATATGATCGCCTCCAGAAGCAATACAGTACATACAGCGATGTGTAATGCTTTCAATGATGTGGTCTATCAGTTCCGTAGGAAGCGAGAGCCATTGCTCTTGCAAAGCAGTTGCAAGCGCGACAAGGGTTGGAGGGGGCGGATTGAGAGTAGCTAGACGTCTCCCTAAAGCATCCCAAACGTGCTCGATAGGATTCAAGTCCGGGGATCGAGCTGGCCAATCCCTGCGCATAATTGTTTCCTGTTGAAGATAATCATCTACAATGCGACAGCCCTGTGTAGTCTTGCGTTGTTGTCCTGTAACAGGAAAGCATCACCTATTGCCCAGGCATATGGCCGCACATAAACATCAAGGATGTCATCTCTATAAATCTGAGCATTCACGGTTCCCCTTGGAAAGACATGGAGGTCTGTGCGTCCACCCAAAGTGATGCCACCCCAAACACAGACACTGCCCCTTCCGTATGCGTCTCTTTCACGGATGTTTGACGAATGATAACGGGTTCTAGGTTCTCTCCATATCAAATAACGCCTACTATCGCTTTCTAGACTAAACCTGGACTCATCCGTAAAGAGAACCGCCCTCCATTGATCAGGCGTCCAGTGGACATGTTGTCGTGCCCACTGAAAACGGTCTCTCCT